TTAGGATTACGGTCAAGATTGGAGTTAGGGCTAGGAGTAGGATGTTACTTTTCCCTTTACTTTTACATTCCCTCTAATAGTATATCAAGTCAATATGAATTAATTAATTCATTACTCAGTCCCTTTCTCCCATCGTGTTTTGGAAAAGCAGAACCTTCTGTTGTTTCACTGAAATCATAATCCAACAGAAATCTCCCACAAATCTCAAAAAGTCACTACCAGTTGCTAACTGTCTTCTCATTTTATAAATTAATGATACTTAGTTTGAGATGAAGCATCATCATGCTGTTTGCTTGCAGCAGCTAATGAAAACATAGTCTGCAGATGGATGAAATGCTGCAGAAATGTTGATAACAGAACCAATGCAATAACCCCCATTGGTGACACATGAAACCCCAAGGAAGGACCTGCTGAAGGATTTGGGGTTACAGCTTCATTTTTGCTTTGGAATAGGTGGTTCAAGACTTGGCTGACCTTTTTCCTGTTTTATCCAAGTTGAACTAGCAGGATTCTCTTCTCTCTTTCATTGTCTCAAACAATGCTGTGGATTCAATTCTTGCTGCTTCTCCCCTCTTCTCTCCCCCCCCTCCACTTTTTAAAAAAAGTTTTAGCTTCCCAAGTCCAGAACAAACCGGATTGTTTTTCATCTCATTATGTTATTGTTGTTAGATCCGGGAGGAGAGAGGGCTCAACCACTTGACATTTTATGAGACGCTTGTCTGCTTTGGAAGACTTCATTATTATGCTATTGAGGATACACACTCTGTGGGAGAAAGTGCTCAGGTTTGGGAGCTGATCACTCTAATTCACTCCCTTAAACTTAGAGATAATAAGTTTGCATCTTTCTATCTGTCCTACCTCATTAGCTCATGTGGCAAAGTGGATATGTGGCTAAGTTAATTTACGAATAAATGGTACAAAAATTCTTTTCTATGTTCCATACTCAAGCTTAATAAAACAACTTTTATTTTTTCCCCCAGTGGGTTTAAATGAGAACATTATTGGGATACTAGTGAGTCATTCTCAAGACTGAATAATTAGTATCTTTATCTCCATTTACTACTTCATTCAAGAGTAAAAGCATCAATATCTTGACATAGTTGGCAACGTTCTCCAATCAAAGGCTATATTCAAGCTTGATGACTGGTGCAATACCTGGATTTCTAATAATCCACGTTTGTATTATGGCTTTTTTTTAAAAAAAAAAGAAAAAGAAAAATGAAGCTTCTAGCGCAGAGATTTTGAGTAGAAGTAATCATATAGGTCCAGTGTTATAGGGATTCGGAGCTGCAAATGAAGTTTTCTGTTAACCCTGAGTTTATCAAAATCTGCAGCCATATGCAGGATTCCTTTTAAATAGATTTGCCTTTCCATTATTGGTCGTCCTCACTTACTGACTGCAGTAATTGAGACTATCAACTTCATTGCTGGTTGTGATGTGAGATGGGATGTGAGTTATGATTTCTGCTCTGGTTATTTAAGCGTATCACCAGTTTATTAAGCGTAATGTCACATGGCCAAAACTTGCAACTTCCTGCCAGTTTCTCCATTGACTTTGCTTGTTGGAAGTCAGTGGTGAAGGTTGCAAATGGTGATTATGTGACCATGGGAAGCTGCGACCATCATAAAATGCACCCTGGTTTCCAAGTGCTCAAATTGTGACGATGGGACTCTGGGGATGCTGTAATGGCTGCACCTTCAAGGCCCAGTCATAAATCTCCTTTTCCAGGGCCATTATGTCAAATGTTTGCTGTGAATGATAATTGAGAACAACCTGTAATTACATTAGAACACCTGTATTTGCTGGGGTTCAGTCTGTTTGCAGTTATAGCCAGGGAATTTTGGCAAAGCACAAACAGCTGTAGTCAGTTCTGCACTTTCCTTACAATCAACAACTCTTGTAAACCCTTTTACGAAAGTCCTACATATGTCGGAACATGAGTTTCAGATCACAGCTACATTCATGCATAATTTGATTTGTGTTGGTCATGTATGCCTTGCAACAAAAAACCCACACCCTGTCTGGGAACCAAATCAGAGCACCCAGCGTTGCTCTTTGTGTACATTCTGCCTGCTGCTCTCTTTAGGACTTCTACTGAAATATTGTCCTCACCGCCTGATTTGAAAAACTTCAGGGAAAGCAAGTGTGCGTGAATATCTTGGAAGTTAGGTCATCTTTATAGATCCCTAACATAAATATTAGTATCTTTCTGGAAAAGAAACCCCAACCTATGATTATTTGCTTAATATAAATGACTTTCTTAGCATATGTAATTAGTTGTATATGCTTTGAGAGTATTGGAAATGGATTTTCAGTCACATTAGTCTTTTCTGGGGGCTGGGAGCTCAATGGTTCAGCAGTTGAAGATGCTGAACTTGCCAGCTGGAAAGCTGGCAGCCTGGGTTGGAGATCCACGCAACGGGATGAGCTGCCATTCCTGCCCCAGCTCCTGCTCACCTAGCAGTTCGAAAGCATGCAAATGCGAGCAGATTAATAGGTACCACTTTGGTGAGAAGGTAACAGTGATCCATGCACCTTCGGTGTATAGCCATGTTGCCCCCACAACCATGACAAATGCCTTCATCAATGCTGGCTCCCTTGGCCAATAAAACAGAGATGACAACTGAACCCTAGAGCTGGGCACAACTAGACAGGGAAAGCCTTACCTTTAGTATTTTCTGACACATTGATGGAGGGCTTCGCTTTCAATAATCAAATCAGCTAAACAAGAAGAGAGACTAAATGATTTTTTTCTTCTGTTTTGGGCTTTAGGCCCTTTTAAGAAAAAAAAAGTTCTTCACAGTTACACTTTATTAAGATTGTCAAGCAAGGGATTTTAGCAGTCATGTACATACAAAAATAATCACATCATACAAGCTACTTTTGCACATGGAAAAGAAGAGGAAAAGTACATTGGCATGCACTTGTAAAGATGCTTCATAGAAAACTAAGCTCTCCTTGTTTGCTTTCCTGGATTCCTACCCACTTGCAAATGTTCGAATGAAATACTCTGAAAGCTTTGCAATAAATAATGTTCTGACCAACATTCCATTCCTCTTCTAACAACGAATACCATTCATCTTGGCAGGGATTCGGGAAAATGTGTGTGTGTGTGTGTGTGTGTGTGTGTGTGTGTGTGTGTTTCTATGGGCCCTGAAATAATAAAAACCAGTAGGATGTGGAAGGATATGCATGGTGGATTTTGCCATTAACAACCACATCTGTGGTTTCAGATAATTATCACAATGCCCCCCATGCAAACTGTCACAATGGGAGAATTACTGTCAGTCACCTATAGGATGTCTACTAATAGGTTTACTTGTGAAAGCAACACTTATCACATATAGTTTTGAACAGCAGATCCACTGTTGAATGAGGCTTCTTCAGCACAGGGGTGTGTTGCATAGAGTTACATGTAATGCCTTACATCAGGCGCATACCAATGCACAATGCTTCGCGTTCAATTTTTCTTGTCAGCTTTTCTTTAGGGGAATGTAAATGGTCCACACCTCTGTCTTAAACAGGCCTGTACTTTGGCTTCAGCAGCATTTCCTGAAACAGTTTGTAAAGTTATAGCATGCTGCCAACTGAATCATTTGGCTGGTCTTTGAACAAGGTTTCTGGAGTTTGCAAGCTGATCTGATTTTAGTAGAACGTACAGTTTGTTAGTGAAATGTTTCTTACACAGAAGGCATAGCTGTTTGGTAGTGCTTGAAACCTTATGCAAAACTAGATAGCTATCAATTCAATTCAGACTTGAAGTCTGGAAGACCTCATCGCTGGAGAGTCTCAATATGCTGTTTAGTCATACTTCTGAAGAACTGTTCCCATATTTTCTGTTGCTGTCAACCTGCCTTCAAAATAACTTAATGGGACACATGGCTTTTAGAATCAAGTAAATAGTAAAAAGAAAACTTAGAAAGGGAAAGTTGTTTTACAGAAAACTATTTCAAAATAATCCTTTGTTTCTCATAATCTATTTTACAGCTCAAAACTATTGTATTGTGAAGACTCTGTAACTCACTATGACAATCTTCAGGGTTTCATCTCCATGGATAATAAAATAATGAAATACCATAAGCAGTATGGTTTAAAATAGTTCATGATAACATGATTTTTTTTCCCTTACCAATTTAATGCTGCTGCTTTTCCTCTCTCTCTTTTCCTTTTCCTTTTTTTTTTGGTCTGGTTGGTCTCTTTCCTCTTTTTTTTGTGGTCTGGTTAAAAGATGGCACTTGTATTCAAAGGGTTAACTTTTGGTACTGCTTAATAATAGAAATATATGTGCCACTTCACCACTGAGTGCACAAAAAACTGTGTTCTGTATCCTCTAAAGGTTAGGGTCTAAATATGGATGGGAAAGGCAGTTACTCGGTGTAATTCATTATTTTAATATTGGTAGTTAAGAATCTCTGATCAATGGAGTGGACAACTGTTCTGCATGAAGATAACTGTGCTTGGGGTGTAGGATTAGAATTGGAGTACAGGGTATGTTGGACTCAGGTGTCTTAACTGTGTTTTTATTGGTAGTTTTGACTTATGACCCAAAGGTGGTTTTTCAGGAGGCAACCTGGACTTTCTTGTTCTTTCTTTTGAAGACATTTCGCTTCTCATCCAAGAAGCTTCTTCAGATCTGACTGGATGATGGGGAATGGAAGGATATATATATTCCTTGCAGACAGCTGGTCATTTGCATTCTTTTAGAGGGTCATTGAAGCACTTGGAGGTTTATCAGATAAATTGGATGAGAAGCGAAATATGATCAAAAGAAAAAAAACAAGGAAGTTGGTCTCCTGAAAAAGCCCCTTTGGGACAACCCTGACCTGGATGACTGAGAGTTGTGAGTATTTAGCATTCTGCAGACCCTGAGCATTAATTTGTGGGACACTTTTCTTCTTTCTCTCACCGTTCCTGTGACATTCCTCCTGGACTGAACTCTTTCCGTATGTTTTGAATCAATCCCATCTCACTCCTCTCCCCTTTTTTTTTCTTCCTTCAGGCGAACGACCTTTTCCTTGTACATGGCCAGAGTGCCTTAAAAAGTTCTCTCGCTCTGATGAGCTAACAAGGCACTACCGAACCCACACTGGGGAGAAGCAGTTTCGATGCCCACTTTGTGAGAAGCGGTTCATGCGGAGTGACCATCTGACCAAGCATGCCCGTCGCCATACTGAGTTCCACCCTAGCATGATCAAGCGATCTAAAAAGACCAGCTCTGCCTCCTTTTGAAGGAAAGACTACCACCAGGGTTGAGGGTGGGGAGAGGGCCATCAGTGAAAAAGGCAGAATGGATCAGCACAAATATGTCCACCACTGTACAGTAAAATCCTCCTCCCCCTGACTTGCATTTTTAAAGCACATGTAGCTGGAAATTTAAAGATTTAACATTTTTGTTCTGTCCACCCTGCTGTGCTACCAACCACAGTCTTAAACCAGTGGCTGTTGGGTGGGCGTGGGGACTTGGGAGGGAGCTGTATGGGGATCAGCAGAAATAATGCAACTTTTTATAGTTTAAAAAGAATCAACACTGGTGTGTGGGTGCATGTGTGTGAACACAAGACGAGCACACACACACACACACACACACACACACACACACGTCTGTATATAATTATATGTGACTGGGTGATTTGACCTGTGACACCACAGTAGTGATTCCAAGCTCTTTGTGATTGCTGTGTCATGGAGATGTTTTGTTGACTAATGTAATGCTGCTTGTGTTTTAAAACAAAAACAAACAAAAACAAAAAAAAATCCAGTTTAGTGAAACCACTTTCCAACTCACTTAAGTATTTTTTTCAAGTAAAGCAAAACAAAAACATCGTAGCACATGATAGATGGAATTTCACGTTTCTCTCTCAGTGGTCCACCCTGTTCAAGACTGTTAAGAAAAAAAAAATCATCGTTCACAGTACCAGATTGGTGGAAGAAAACTGTACTTTTCAGCAAGTTATCCTTTTTTTGAGCTGTTTCCTCCCCCGCCCCAGTGGAAACATGCACAGAAACCAATTATGAAACCAAAAGGAAAACAAGAAATCAGCTGGCATCACACACAAGAGGCTATTCTTTGCCCTGGAGAAAAGAAACAATGCAACCTAAATCATGCAAAGAAATGTGGTATGAGACTATTTTTTTCTCTCCTTTAGCTGTTCCTAGACTTTCATCTGAAAAGCAACCATATACTGTACTGTACTATACAAATACCACTACCAGTGCTTTATTCTGCTGGGTTTTGTTGGAATGAATGCATAACAGCAGCAACCATCTTGATAAGCTACCACTTTTATAAAAGTTGTTTGTTTTTTTTTCCCTCTTGCGACTCTTTCTCTTTTTCTCAATGGTGCATTTTCTTCACCTCTCGCCAGAATTCTGTCTCGGCTATCGGAACTATGCGCATTTGGAGTCGGTAGAGAACCTTTTCCTTGTTTTGTTTTTTTCCGACAGAATATTCTCGGTGTGGACGAACGCAAGTAACACTAATTTTTTTAAACTACTTTTTAACAGTCTTCTTTTTCTTAAATTGCAGCTGTTATACAGAGTCTGGGGAATAACAACCAAACTAACTTGCAAGTCGGAATTCAGACTCAGATGCAGGAGGCGTGTCGAAATACCCTTCGCGACATAGCCTCACCACTACGTACCTTGCAATCTCAATCCTCCGTATCAGGCTCGATACAGTTCATGATAATGGCAATATTTCATCTGTTTCAAATGCTACGGTTTGCTCTTCGGAACAGAGGCACCACCATCCACATTGGAGAAAAGCTCTTTGCATCTAGCCAAGCTGTGTCATCTTTGTTAATGTCCAAAGCATGAACCCGACGAAGGTTGTAATCCATGGACGTTCCTTCCCCCGCCCCGTCTCTCGTGGTGATGGAGAATCATGTTTACAGACTTCCCTCCTGTCCTTGACTCTTCTTTCTCCTGATGGAAGAAGTGGTGCAACTGTCCTTCGTAGGGCTAACTTTGTGGGTGAGGAAATCACACGGTAGCCAGAGGGATTACACCTGGATCGGTTTGCCCAACTTTGTAAAGAATCTGTACATACAACCTTGTAAAGTATACCTGCTATGAGAGTATCTTGTTCTTGTTTCATCCGATAGAAAGCTAGCTTCCTAGAAAAATAAAATAAAACATCTCAGAGAGTAGAGTATTCTACAATTGTCTGTGGCTTCCAGCACTAGAACTCAGTATGCATCAAGCATTTTTACCTGTATGGCTCATTATAAAGTCTGTCTATGCGAAAAGAACAGCTTTTAAATAAAGGTGTTGGGGCAATGAACAACTTAATGGCATTTCAGAAGCAAAAAGGAATGAGTGTTCTTCAGTGAAGACATGTCAGGAAACCAAGCACACTTTCTACCTCCGTTTCAACTTCTTGAAACGTTTGTTTTATGATAAACCAAAATTAATTTCTGGTGTCCAAAATAAATTGTAGGGATGTTTGTTCTTCCTTATAAAAATAGGTAGCCTGGCTCTTTCTATTGCTCTAGTGTTGAAAAAAAGTATTCTGCTTTTATCAGTACTGTTAATGCTGCCTTGTTTAATAAGGGTGAGGACTATGTGGTTAGTCAGCAGCTCGCAACGTGGTACTATTCCAATTGTCCTCCCTTTCTATATGAAACCAATCCTCCGGAGTCTAAGCTCTAGTCTGAGTCCTACTAAACAGTTTGCCAGATCTTTACTGTTGCTTTGGGGTAGGACAAGTGCAGTTTTAGCAAAAGAGAGCCCAAAAGCTGAATGCTGTTATTCCACCTTTTGTACAAAGCAAGCCACAGGCACCCTCCTTATCAGGTCACAAAGGCAGATGAGAATCATCAGGTTTGGTGAAATGGTGGTTAGGGCACTTGCCTGTCTCCTGACAGCTGTGGACTTGATCTCATATGAAACGCGGCCACCTCCAGTCCACCCGAAGGTTTTAAGTTGGTCCCTTGGGCTGGAAAGTCCTAGATGGCCAATGGTGCTATTCATGCTGCTCCCTTGTGGACTTCAGGTCAGGGTATAGAAATGATGGCTTTGCCTTCACCACACCAGCCAAACCATTTGCAGAATAGTTTGCCGTGACCTAATTTGGCAGCATATATTATTTGAACAACAAATCATAGGAACTGCTCCTCTCATTCCTAAAAGGATTTCTTATGGACAAATCCAACCATAGGATGTATAAAAACAATGACTAGGTTGATTTTCTTAACAGCTCTTCCAGCTATATAAAAAAAAAAAGAATGATTCCCTGATACATTTGGGACTCACCTTTGTGATCTTCTGGTCATCACAATGAGGTGTGCACGATCCTGGTGTGTTATTTCTAGTATCGGAGTGGCCACCAGTTTGCAGTAAGTAGGTTGACTGACATGAAGGTAAACCCATTATATGCTACTGTGGACGTCTCTACTACTGTGTATTGAGAGATGATAAACCTTCTGGCTTGGTAACAAGTAAACCTGTCAGATCACCCACTTTCTGCAAACAGCCATGCGTTTCTCCGGCTATGATGCAGGGGAAGCAACTGCCACGATAATTTTTAATTGGGGCTACCATGCATACCAATAGTTAGGCTACCAATTGACACTGGCCTGCTTCCTATATTAGTTTTAGACAATGTGTGCATAACCAGGTCTTAAAGGGCTGGTCTGGCATTCGGCAGCAAACAGGGTTGAGAACTTTGGGCATGATTTGTCTGCTGCATAAGTTACGTAAGACACCCGATTTGCAGTTGTTGGGGCAAAAGGAAAAATAAGGTGCTTAATTCTTACCCATTCACTGTTTTCTTCTTCCCAAGCAAATCTCTTCCTCAGGCTGAATCAGTTGGTAATTTGAAGGGCAACTGAGCAGGATTAAGCATGTGTAGTACAGATCTTTGTCCAGCAAACTCTTTCCACTTTGCAGCAGAAGCAAGGATTTCTTCAACCCTGTTTGCTGACCACTGTCCCCCAGCTGCACTATAATTGTTAAGCTGTTTTTATGTGGGAAGTGAAACTCCCATGGCTGCGCCCCAGAAAAGAGATGTTATAGCTGAAGGATCCAGGGGTTTCACGAGGTTACTCTCAGAAGCAGGGAATGTTTCTTTGGGTTTTAATCTCAGCAAGCTTATTTGAAAGCCGCGTTCCTTCAAATGAATGAAACTTACTTTCAAATAAATCTGGTAAGCAACGGGATGTAAAATACGCTTTTTAGGAGTCTTCCAAAAGTAACATCAGAAACTACCCAAAGTTTATTAACCACTAACAAAATAAAATCGGACAAGTTTGTCAGATTTGGTGTAAGAGTAAGCAGTGAATGTCACTTGACAGCGCAGTGAAATAAGGTTGCGATCTTTTAGCAAATCGGAATTTGAGAAGAGGCTACAGCAGGTGTTGACAAGAAGGAAAAATCAAGTTCTTGGTGAACTTTTTTGCCAGGCCACTCTGGAAATTCTTAAAAGAGTGCTGACGTGAATGCAGCTCCTCTCCTCCATTCAGAAAGACCTTCCTAGAGAAGCCATGGCTTTAAACTATAGCTATACAACATCTTTTGTGAACAATTTTGATGACTTCTACACAGGTCTCTCCTGTTTGTTGATGGACTTAGCCCAGTATGCACCAGACATACTTTTCAAATGCTGTTTTATTGCAGGTTAACAAATCTGTAACACTGTAAAATACCAATCTTTACAACTTTAATCCATTTTATTTTTGTACAGTATTCGTATCCTTTCTAAGTTATTTTGCTGTCCTGTTTTGTAAATCATATGAAATTGTAAAAAAAAGAAAAAGAAAAAAGAAAAAAGTAGGAATAGGTGTTTTTGTATATATGTATATAAAAATGTCCAAATACTTAAAAAAAATAAAATGAAACAAAATGGAAAAGTTGTTTGGGATGATTTGTATCAGAGTTTGATTGCTCAAAATTGGATAGTACAGGAAACAATGAGAGGAAATATCTATTAACAATGGAGTTGCATCGCTCTCCCCATTTTGATTCTTTCAGATCAGCAAGACAACTCCTTAATCTTCCAGTCACTTAAAGCCTTTGGAGTTGAAAGTCAATATATAGAGAGGCCATTATGTTAGGCAAAGCTGATTTAGACAGATAAAAGTAAAACTTGCAATTAAAATGGCAGAACTGCAAGATGGATAACTTTTTTAAAAGGTAAAAAAAATGAAGGAGAGAAACAAAAACCAGACAAGCTTCTAGTTCAAACATCCTGATGTTTTAAGACAGGTTTAATGTCAGAACAAAAGTGTGTGCACGTGTGTGCACACACACATACACACATGGTTCCATAAAGTATTGACTGTCTAGATCAGTGATGTCCAATCATGGCAACTTTTAGACCAGTAGACTTTAACTCTGATGAAGGCGAAGTCCACAAGTCTTAAAGTTACCAAGGTTGGACACTTCTAGGTGTTTGGAGTACAATTCTCACCATCCCTGACAATTGGCCACACAGAAGAATTTATGGGTTGGGTATCAACATCTGGAAGGCCCCAGATTCTTTGTCCTAACCCTTAGTCCCTGGCACTTGCTGACAAGCTTTTGATAAATCTGTTGCAGAATCTAGGAAGTGCCAGTATAAACGCTCTTTCTCCAATCGCCCCATCTTGACTATAAAGGTGTTGGAAGAGCCCTTTAAGTAGTTCTCAACTCAGAACGATACTGGGTTTTCAAAATCAGTATTTTGAATTGCACTTAGAAAAACAATGTTGCCTGGAAGGCAGCAGCCTTTTTTCATTCTGATAGAATGGGGATTCTGGTAATTTCATGCAAGAACTCAAGGAACAGTTCTTATTTGGAAGACTTTGCATAAGCTTTCAGATATCACATGCTACATGTCAAAGTATCTTATTGATGCAGCAGAATCTGTTATCAAAGTCAATGTAGGTGCAAGGGCAATATCTTGACACCAATTCTTCCATCCCAACCTGGCAACTTAATCCTCAAGGTAGAGCAACCAGTCCAGAACTAACCTTCACTTCTAAGTTGTATTTGTAAAATTCAGAATGCATTTTGATAGCATTAAATGTGAAACAGTGTTGGTTTGTTCCTTCCCATCTTCTCTGATGTGCTGGCTGTTCTGTCTGACACACAGAAAAAAGGAGTGCGTGCCAAGATGACTCATTTATTTTTTAGTCTTAGTTTCTGAGTTTTATTTTTCAGGGGTTCTCATGCAAATTTGCAACAACACGATGCTGCTTCAATAGGGCAGAGATGGCCAAAGATGAACTCTGAATTTCAACATCAGATTTAGGAACAGTCCTCTTCCAATTGTAACCTAATCATTAGGAAAGGGTACAGACTTTTGTCTCCTGTGTCATCTTTTTATGCTACTTTACTTCATACCATTGCTCACTTTGAGTTTCCTATGGATACAGAGGCAAGTATACATTGAAGAAATAATCAAATTAAGCAATAATTCTTTATTTCCAGTGTGTAAATAGCTATTGTGACATACTGTGCTTTGATTGTTACTTTTGATCGTGTTTTGCAAAGTCAAGGCTCCAAAGCTAGTGCCTTCCAGAAGTATTAGCCCAACTCTCCTAGTTTCCTAGCCAGCAACCAGCACGACCTTTGGGAGATAGAAGAAATGGCCATGATGGATAGTTAGGGAGATCCTGTGTTGTTATTAGGCTGGAACTTTTTTGTCCGCTTTTTGCCATTTATTTTGGGAATTAAGGGAGATAAGTACATTTCACCTTAGGTGAACAGAACCCATTCTCTTATTTATGCTAAAAAATCAAATTATGTAGATACAGCTTCTTTAGTGAAATCTAATGTACCCAATGAAGTTATTTTTCCTAGGAATGTTTTCCAGGAACCTTTTAGAAATGGAAAATCTTTCTATCTGAACCTTGAATTCTTTTCATGGTTTTGAAAAAGTGAGGATAAATTGCTGATTCCCAGACAGAATATTTAACTCAAACCTTAATATTCTGTGGTATCTAATTTATTCTCATATTCCATATCTTTAACTCCTTGCAGGAAAATCTGTTTGGTTTGCCCATATTCTAGAGGGATAAAGAATGCTGGGAACAACAGCCAATAAGATAACAACTTATCAACAATGCTTTCAACTTCAAGTTAAGTGTTTTCCTATCAGAACAGGACTAAGTCTGAAGGAAGAAATGGATGTTAAACCAATACTTTTAAAATCTATTATTACATTACTTTATATAATCTGTTTTTAGTACTAGCAACACCAAATATTCATTCTTGCTTAATATTTTAAATGTTGCTTTAATGCCTTCATATTTTGTAAGGTATATTTTACACAACAGCATCACAATTCTTTTTTATCAAGCCTTTTCCCAACATAAAATCAGATTGTCCATTCAAGTGGTATTTGTTTTTTTAATTTGTTCCCGAGCTTTCTTCCATTACTCGCAAAACAGTTCGCAAGTCAGAGAATAAGTCCATGAAGATTGCCATATAAACTTAACATTAAAAATAATTGTAGCCTAAATTAAAGAAGCAAGAATTTTAACACTTGAGCACCAAGAAAGTCAACAAGATAATATGCAGAAGTTAGCATCCTTCTAAGCTTTACAGAAACCCTGGGTTATTTATTCAGAAATAAGCTCTATTTCATGAAATGAATCTACTCACATAAATATCCTATATCTTTTAAAAGAATGTCTATGGATTCCCAACCTAAACACTCCAGCTTCAGACAATGTACAAAGAATGATTCCAAGCGCCCATGACTAAAATCTAGCTTATCTAATTCATATATATGTGAAATGCAAGTTTGTGTGTGTGTGGATACTGTAACAAGAACTCCATTATTTTGGGGGCGGGGGGGCATAAGTGCATCCAGCTAGAATAACTTTCTGTTTATAATGGCAAAAAAAAAAGGGATGCACAAGTTTGCTGAGGAAAACACAATGATTGCACAAGAGGATGTCACTTTAGGGCAATCTTTCCTAATTTCAGGCCCTCCAAATACATTCGATCTGTTAGCTGAGAATTACTATGGTATATGAAGTTGGGAACGACTGTAAGCACCACATACTATAGACCAAGGGTGTCAAACTCACATCATCACAGCGGCATCATGTGACCTATTGTGACTCCTCCCCCCCTTTCTAAACCGGCCATAGGCATGGCCAGTGCATGACGCATCCAGCCCACAGGCCGTGAGTTGGACAGCCTTGGTGTAGACCATCACAGGAAATCATAAGCTTGGGTCATGCAATTTTTTGGTACTGTCTGGATGGTCTTGAAATTCAACT